TTATGACGGTCGATACTTGATCTATCTCTTACTGTTACATCCCCGGGAAACGCTGGGCTCTACTGCTAGTACATATATATGCCTCTGATTGTGTGTGTGTGTTTGTATATGTGTGTGTATGTGTGTATGCGAAATACCAAAACATTACAGATAGATGTACACTGAATGACATACGAGTAACATAATATGTTAATAGGCTGTGTCGCTATAACTGTGAAACTATGCCAATCATCATGCGCGAATCGCATTTAGCACCGTGCAACCGCGGAGCTACTGATTGGCAAAAATGGCTTTTACTGGCAGGAAGTAGGCAATGACTTTTGTGTTTAATTTATTTTCTATGTCCACCAAAATACTGTCAGGAAGCCAGAGAATTTAACATTTCCAATAGCATTCTTGCAAATACTTTGAATTGCCAACATTGAATATATCAGGTCATCCTATAAGTTCTGTCCGAATTTTGAATAAAGAAAACAAGTGACCAAATGTTACATTTAATTACAGATTCAATCAACAATGTATTTTCCCTGATTATCTATGACTTCCTTCCATCTATTAACAAGCTTACTAATTCCATTACTGTAAAATTCTTTTGGCTTTGATTCGAAGAACTCACAAATGTCAGTTTTAACCTCTTCCTGTGTTACAAAAGCTGTTTCTTCCAAATGATTCTCTAAGCTACGAAACAAATGGTAGTCTGAAGGAGCAAGATCGGGGAATAAAGTTGATTAGGAATTTTTTCCCAAACCAGTTCTTCGATCTTTTGTGACGTGATTCTAGCTGTGTGGTGTCGCGCATTGTCCTGATGAAACATCACCTCTTTTCGATTCACTAGAGCAGATCTTTTTTGTTTCTTCAAAGCTTGGTTCAAACGCTCTAATTGCTGACAGTATATTTGAGCATTAATTTTTGCATTAGGTGATAAGAATTCAAAGTGGATTATTCCTTGGCAATCCCACTAGATTGAAAGAAGAACCTTTTTGCCCATGAAGTTCCCTTATCGCCTGTGGTTGGGGTCCTTCCCCTTTACCAAGCCACTGTCTACGACGCTTAACATTTCGATAAAAGATCCATTTTTCGTCGCCAGTCACAAGTCTATCCAAAAAAGGTGAAACAATTTGGCAAGAATGGAGAGAAAAGCAGATGTCAACTCGGGATTTGATGTTGTTTTCAGACAATTCATGAAGCACCTATTTTCCAAATTTAGGAACATTTCCAAGTTGCTAAAGATGCCGATGAACAGTTGTATGGTTTGAACTGAGAACCACTGCCAATTCCTCAACTGATAAAGCAGGATTTTCTCCAAGGGCTGCTTCAAGAAGCTTTTCATCAAACGCAACTGGACGTCCGGTTTGATCTTCATCTTCAAGGGTGAAATCTACACCTCTGAATTTTGCAAACCATCTTCTGCAAGTTCTTTCATTCACATATTCCTCTCCATAAACTGAGTGAATGTTTCTAGCCGTTTCAGCTGCTGAGTTTCCTTTCTTGACCTGATAAAGCATTATGTGCTTCAATAGATTCTTGGGTACTTCCATGTTAGCAGGGTTTTAATCAAACAAAATTTAATTTTATTGTTCTCTGAAATAAAATTTGATCAGTTTAAATTCATCTAAACATAAAAATAATGTTCAGCTCCATTAGACATTATAAAATACTCTTTAAATTTCGTTCATTTTAACAAAAATTTCAAATTCGGACAGAACTTATGGGATGACCTGATACAAAAAAAAGAAAAAAAACGATAGTCGAAAACGAATATATCTTCTGTTCGAATTTCTGTGATGAGTTGATATCATTACTTAAATTATTTATCATTACTTAAATTATTTATATGTCGGTTATTGCTCTCATTTTCGTTGTTCTTGTCAAAACCCTTCGACCGTACTGATTTTCAGCGGACATCAGCTTGTCGTTTGTCGATTCGAATAACTTTCAGGAAATCTCGAGCTGAACCAACGATACATTACCCTAGTGGGTTTCAGAGCGTTGACGTGAATATGGTGACATAATAATTATGAGTTCAATCCCTGGAAACATCGAACAATAACCATCGGGTAGATTCCACCAAACTTAAATATTTTCCACTTGGAAAATATGTAATTTTGCTTTCTTGTAAGCCTTCTGACAAGTTGTTTATTAGAATGGAGAGCCATCTTGGTTTCGTCTCTGAAGGTAATCTTATCCCAAGTAGCATCCAGCATCCATGACTCTTTGGTTAATTTGCCATCGAGGCTTACGGTCATATCACGTTAAGACAACCATACGATCACTGAAGTTAAGCAAAGTCGATTCCAATCAGTACCTAGATGAGTGACCACTTGTGAATAATGGGTGTTGTAAGCTTGAATGTGCGACTAGTGTCATGGTTCTGAATTTTGAAATCGTAGAGCCAGTCGGATTCGATATATTCACATATATCAAGTAACCTTGTGAAAGGCATGAATCCATCTCACTCACATCACCGGCCATGGCTTAATTAGTAAGATTTGTATCAGTAAACTTGTATTATGTTTAAAAGATTTTTTTTTTAAAGTGCACAAGTAAATTATGGCTTCAAACAACCTGAAAAAGATTGATAAGCCGTAAAAAACAAATCAATCTATCATTCAATTTGCCTTCAGAATTACTGTCATCTCACATTGAAACACTGGTTCCCGTACGATCACCGAAGTTAAGCAACGTCGAGCCTGGTCAGTACTTAAATGGGTGACCGCTTGGAGATATTGGTGCTGTAAGCTTGGATATGCCGATGGTGTCATGCATTAATTCCATTTATATTCACCTACGGACTTTTGGTTTTGTAGATTATATGAATTCCTGTCCATGTCTTCCAAGGATGCTCTTCGTGTCATCTACAGATACCAAACTAAACAAGTCGTATTGTATCTGAGATTTTACTTTTCTGGTCATTTTCTATACCAACCTATGCTGCATCCTTCGAGCGACTATATTTTAGTTGATCTGAAAAAAACTTACAGTGGCTCGAAACTTCAAAAATACAGAAATCCCTCGATTAATGCGCATTCGGTTAATGCGCATTCGATTAATGCGTTTTCGATTTGTACGCTAATTTCATTTTTTTTTTAACCAAAATTTGATTAGTGTATACATAATATTCGATTAGTGCGGTAAAACCTTCTTCAGTTTAGCCATACTAATTGAAAAGTGATTTTTTATAGTTACCGATAGAAACGTTTATTGCACAAACCGAAAGGATTACTGTATTCCAGAAGTATCACTATTAATTCCGGGTTTGTTTGATATTGAGTTGAATGGATCACGTCTCGGAAATGGAAATCGGAGAGCCGTGTTTCATTTCTAGTCGAGTACGTTATATTCACTTATGAGCAAATGCCCTTGGGAAAGATATTAATCCACCTCCTTCTATCTTAGCTCTAGGTTACTAGAACTTGTATCAGTAAAAAAACACATTATTATTTAAAATAAATAAAGTACTTACAATCTAAAAATATTTTCTGTGACCTGGAAAAAAATTGAAAAGCAGTATAAAATACATCAAACAAACATGAGATAATTTTAGTCCGTTCTTTTAAAAATTCATAAAGTTTGAATCAGAATTTTTAGCATCAATCTTTTCAAGCGTTGGCAATGATTCGAACTGATAATTCAAGTTTATTCATGAGCATCTTTTGTTAATTCCTGAGTATAAAAAAAAATATTTTGTTTCTTTTCCCGCATCTTGTAAAGACGATTGATCGATATAAACCGTGTCATTTTGGCACAAATACAATGCCACTCTTGTCCGTAGCAAGGTTACAGGATGGACAATAAGTAGACTTATTAAGAGAAATTTCAATGGATGTTTTTAGAAATTCTTGTAAACAAGCCTTGAATATTTACCACGATTATTTAATAAAAAAAAAAATGCACATTAAATAAAGAGTCCCGTTCGAAAAACGTGAGTACAAAAATTGTTTACTCGTAAATGCTATTAATTGGAATAAATGTCTACGTTTATTGTATAGATAGATAGATAGATAGATAGATAGATAGATAGATAGATAGATAGAACGAACGAAACCTTTGATAAGTGAGCTAGATTGTCCTTGAATGCGTGAGAAATAAACCAAATATAATCTGATGTATATATATATATATATATATATATATATATATATATATATATATATATATATATATATATATATATATATGCTAGCAGTATAACCTGACTTAGACCGGGTCTTCTATTATTGAGAATTTTTGTCTTTCAATTTGAGCAGTTTAAGTTTAAAGTCAGCCCATTCGAAAATCAATATTAGTAACAACATTTGGATGCAACTGAGGCACATCCCCAAATGGGGGGAGGGTAACAATTTGAGGGGGAGACTGAAAGTACAACTGCATAATAATAAATAATATTGTTGTTATAATTTAAAGTATTTATTTTTATTAAAGTTTTTATGAAAGATATATACCCAAGAACTGATAGTAAATAGTAAGACGTTGCTGAGAGTTATAATGGACAGGAAGTAGTGGAGAGCCATTGTCGCTAACAATTTGAATCGGTACTGAAGAACTATCTATCAAATCAAAAATTTCATCGAAATCGGATGAAAACTGTGGAAAAGCATAAGCAACATCAGATCACACACACTCACATACATGCACTCACGTATTTTCAGAATTATATATATATATATATATATATATATATATATATATATATATATATATATATATATATATATATATATATATATATATATATATATACAAGTTGGATTAAAAAGTAACGACAAGGTAAGTTAGTGTTTTCTTATCATTTTGTATGTTTACAATTTTCGAATACGGACTTGTGTCTTGTGATCAAAATGTTGGATAAAATGTTACATTGTTTTTATTTCTTTCAACTACTTACAAATTTGTCAGCCATTTTAAGATCTTAGCCTAGCACACAGTCGAAAATACTTGATAAAAACAACAAAACTATCAGCTTCAGAATCATCGAATTAATTCAGAATTACTGCCATCTCACATTGAAACATCGGTTCCCGTGCGATCACCGAAGTTAAGCAACGTCGAGCCTGGTCAGTACCTAAATGGGTGACCGCTTGGAGATATTGGTGCTGTAAGCTTAGATATGCCGATGGTGTTATGTATTAATTACAGTTATATTCACATACGCGCAATTACCCATTGTAATTGTATGAATCCACGTCTTCTCCACAACCAGCTTTGGGCTAATTAGTAAGACAATTATCAATAAATCATAGCTTTATTCTTAAAATCTAAAAATATTTTCAGGCTTTGAAAAAGCTGCCAAAGCTTGTTTAGCCGTAGGAATTACTTATTTATAAAATACATTAACCAAATTTAATTATCAATTGGAATGATACTGTTATACCCTTGTGTCAAATTGATCTCAATATAACAGTAACATAGTTGAACAGACACTTGTTCTGCTCTATGCGCTGTGTCCCTTCAAGATGTGGGTGATCATGACGCTACAACTTCCTGTCATTCTTTGCTATCTCTCCTAATCTCTGTTGTGGAAACATTTACGCAACGTCGTTAATAGATTTATTCGATGCATTCCTCTGCCGCTCTTGTCCCCAATATATCACGTGTGTGCTAAATTATCCAAGATTTCTTTCCCCATTACGTGCACTTGACATTTCAATATATTCTAAAAACAATTCTCCTTTTTGTTTCCATTTTCCCTAAAACTTCGTCGTTGCCCATATGTTGATTCTATGGCATTCTCAGCATCCTCCTCCTGTACAATCACATTTCCATTGCTTCAAGTCTAATCTTCATCTGTGAGTATATTTCGCAGCTTTCACTGACATATAGGAGGGTCGATATTACATAACAGTTCATTAACCTTTCCTTTGTTTCTAACGAAATTTTACTGTTTCTTAATACTTTACTTAGATTTTGGAAGGCATCTTCCACTATTCCAATACGCCTCGATTTCAGTCTTTATTTATTCATCCTTTGTGAAAACATTTTCTAGATATTTAAATTTTTGTACTTGCTTGATATTTATGCATCCAGTTTGTAGCCCGCATCTTGGGTTGTACCTTTTCCTGACACCCCTTCGCATGCAATTAAGTCTCATATTCACCTGCGGCCCCCAAAACATTAAAATTTGTACCAGACGAATCAGATTATAATAAATATACCTGGTGTAACAGCAAAATTGTCTAAATCGTATAACAGCATAATTATCTATCACAAAAAATGTTCCATAACTAAAAAAAAAAACACTAAAGTAATTAAGTTTCTTTTTACAGGTTTTCAAATAAGACATTTAGCCATCTTGATACCATTTGTCGGAAGAATCAATGAAAAATCATTTGAGTTAATCTACTAGAAAGGGAAACAGGTTAAAATCGTTTTGTATCAGCACTTCTTTCTTCCCAAATGAGCAATGGTGAGAGGAAAATGCCATTCATGATTTCAGTAATGGTACCAACATAGATACACTGGCTTCCACCTTCAAAGTCAATTCAAGAAACATCAAGAGGACAGTGAATAAGTTTTTTAAAAAAACAAGAAACAGTAGTGAGAAAATCTGGATCATGAGGTCACAACAGGAAGACGGATCATTATTTCAACAAAGAGCTAAAGATACCAATTAGAAAAGACACAACTCAATGTATAAAACGTTTGGTAGGTGCGAGAGGAGTTTCAGCAATGTCAGTCAAAAGAGCAGAGAAAAAAGACTTGAAAAGGAAATCGTACGTGAACCCCTGTTTATTTCGCTTATGATCGATTTCATCAGGATTCTTATCAGCTTGGAGAGTAATTATACATACTAATCGCTCAAGATAGATGTCAATAGTGTTATAAAAACCTCGGAGAATTCCAGTAAGATATATTTAATCATTTCTCAAATACAACAGTTCAATGCTTAATCTAACAAATGAACAATTTTGCTGTTACATAATTTGGACAATTTTGCTGTTACGCACGATATATTTGAAAGTTCACATTTTCTTTTTTAGTCCTGCTTTAGACAATTGAAATTGATTCTTAAAGAAGCATCTCAGTTCAAGAATACAAAAGAGGGAGACATTGAATTTTTTTCATATTTGAATTCTCAAGGAAGTCGGGAGTTTTATGAAAAGCACGTTCATTGAAAAGAGACCTGCCATTGGATCCTATGGATTTTCAAGTTATATTGCATTAGTTGCAAAAAAAATATCGATGCTTAAAGAACGTTCAAATTACTACGGGCATATGAATTTAACTTTAACATTTTCCAGATATTTGTAACAATAGCCTTATCAAAAAGAAGCCACATACTGTAAAAAGTAAAAATCTTATTCGCCGTATCGTCAGATCGAAAATTTTGAAAATGATATGGAAGGGGAAAATGATTCAAATAATAGGAGATTCAGCGGAATATCAATGGAACAGAAGCGAAAAAACAGACACCAGAAAAAATAATTATATATATATATATATATATATATATATATATATATATATATGACATAACGATATATATATTTTATATATCAAGAACAATATTGGGGAAATCGTATGAAAAAGTAGTAAAAGTATACTTGTGACGCGTTTCTTCCTTCAGGACTTCATCTGAATCGGACTAAATTTGTTATGTTGGCACGAACGAGGCGTTCTGGGATTTTATATATAAAAAATGTTTTCATATATCTCTAGTCCACTGTAACATGACTGACCACAATTTTTAGATAAAAAACCTATTACTCTGATCAAAGTAGAAAACAATTAACTAGAGTGTGGCTTGATCGCAAGGTTATCTACAGTCGGGCTCAAAATTTTGTCATTTCTGGCAGATCTTCTATAATAACAGTGTGGTATATCTACTAACAAAAGAGATCGAAAGAAAAAGATCCTAAATGAATGCGTCATTCATCTCTCTCTCTCTCTATATATATATATATATATATATATATATATATATATATATATATATATATATATATATATATATATATATATATATATATATATATATATATATATATATATATATATATATATATATATGTATATATATATATATATATATATATATATATATATATATATATATATATATATATATATATATATATATATATATATATATATATATATATATATATATATATACATGTATATATATATATATATACATGTATATATATATATATATATATATATATATATATATATATATATATATATATATGTATATATATATATATATATATATATATACACATATATATATATAATTCTAAAAATTTCTAAATCCCCACCACACCTCGTTCGTCCTAATGTGTAGTCCTACCAGCATAACAAATTTAGTTAAAGTTCTGAAGAACAAAACGCATCACAAATATACACACAGGATATATATATATATATATATATATATATATATATATATATATATTTAAAGAATTTGTCTACATATGATTCTTACTTAGAAGATGTAGATATAATAGGCCGGTGAAATAAATTCTAGAGATAATAAAGCCACCCAGAACAATAATATTCATAATAATACTATTTATTGCATATTAATCGAACTTTTGACCTAATGGAATCTTGATGAGAAACATTTTTAAAATTGGAATTTCGGACACGTCTGTGTTCTTTTTCAACGAGATGAGAAATAAAAATATAGTGGGACTTTCTTTTCCGGGTAATTTTTTGTTTTTTGTTTGTTTTCGCATATTTTCCGTAAGAGATCCAATATGCTAGTTGCTTGCCACCATTAGGGTTTCCGAAACCTACCAACTATCTACAACCTTAATCGTGGCAAACAACAAATGTAAACATGTTTCGTTGATTATGATATTTCTGAGATGAGGTATTTTAATTATTTACACTATTTACTATTACTGCTGTCCTCATCTTTATTGCCATATTCACAACGTTTCGGCCGTTGTACGCTCCCGCCTTCTTCAGATGCGTTTGTTCTAGTTCCACGTGCCATGCCTTTTCCGTGAAATAGAAAGGAAGTGATTCATTTTATAATTAATTAAATAATAAAAAAAAACAAAGACGGCGAATAGCCAAAAAGGAGTACAAAAACGGGACTCAGCTTACCATATCCCTGCGCCAAAAGTTTAAATAATGCATTCTTTGAATTCGAAGTTCGTTTTTAATACCTGACTGACCGCTAAGCCTGATGACCTATCTAGGCTTCAGATCTCACACATGCTTCCCTACCGCCGTAGCTTATAGCCTGTTTCAAACATATCGATAGAATTCGAGAAGAGACTGCTCACCCAGCAGTGAAAGTAGAGTGTAACCGCTATATGACTGCAAATCATGCAGCAAGATGGACATTATTTAGCCAGTCTAAAGAGCAACTAAACGTCTCGTCTTCCACTGAAAACTAAACTTTCGAAAGATAGTGCAACAAGCTAAATGCGTGTTTTTCTCTGATTTATCAATTAATTAAGATAATACACATCAGGATTAAAAACAAGATCTGTCAAATGTAAGCGTTCTGGGATTGCAAAGGAAATATTTGTCGCAGTCTACTTCCACAATACAGAGAACAAATCACTGTAAGTTCAGACTTGAATATCGTGGGGAAATGCCGAAAACTCGATTCGCAGGTACTATCTCACAAATCCCAATGCACGTAACCAGTCAGAAAAATGACTCACTCTCTGACGAACGCGATAGCCAAAATACACGAATTTTATTCCTTTTTCTCTTGATTCGAGAATACCATCTGCTTTTATAGGCCGAGCATTTTTTCCATTCGTCGACAACTGGGAGAGGACGCACAATATTAACATATCAATATAATTTTATACCGACTCCTGCGACTGACTTGTTTCTAATTGAAATATTCCGTCTTCAGCATGTGGAATATGTGCATTTTTTTTTTTTTTTTTTGGTAATTTTCTTTTTCGTCACATTTTTCGTCGTAGGATACACGCGACACCCTGTCGCTTGGTTTGACAAGCTAATTCGCCGTTTTTATCGCTATATCAAAAGAAAGATGAATCTTATTGTCGCGTCAACAGTAATCTAGTACAGTCGGGTGGAATGGGATATATATTTATATATGCAGCGGAGGCGAAGTTGACGCGACATTGTTCAGCGAACAGAGTTGAGCGTTGACTTCCGGTGGA